TACCGAGCCTCGAAATCCCCAATCGTGTCCAACATACAGATCTGTACCTACAGAATCACTCAAAAATCGGTAGAGGTCAAGCAAATTTGCTGGACCTCTACCGAATCGGTATCTGCAAAAGCACTGGACTTTTACCGAGCCGCACACCACACCATCACTCCCAAAATTCAAAGTCCGACTACACTTCACTTTTTATGCTCTCGATCCGCATACACACACCAAACTTCTCATTCTGACTCTCAACATGAGCATTGGAGGACCTCTTTCCTTGCATACCTATCATATCTTGTTACTGCTCATCATCAGTTCTATGAAGTCCCCCTGTTTTCAAATCATGTGTTTTCAAGTCTTTCTTTCAAATCATGTGTTTTCAAGTCTTTCTTTCAAATCGTTTGTTTTCAAATCGATTGCTTTCCAATCGATCATTTTCCAATCTTGAGGTTTTTTCAATCAATTGTTCTCAAATTGATGATTCTCCAATCGATTATTTTGGAGCAATCACTATGAAAACGATGCTTTTGAAACTCAACCCATACTGAGCAACAACTATGTAAATGTCAAAACTCGATGTTTTGAGTTGAGATTTGCAGACTGTTCACAGAGCACACGATAGTGGAACAGAGTCCATTCTGTACAGTACGTACTGTACAGAATATATATACTGCAACGATAGTGGAATTGTGCGTTTCTGTACGTACGGACACTGTACTTTACAGACACGTACAGTAAATTTACTGAAAATTTACTGCAACGATAGTGGATGCTCTGAAGCTGTTTTATTTGCCCGAGTTGAGGCCATTTGGAAGCCCTCCTCATGGCCTTGACTTGACCCGGCCATACTCAACTTATGATATGATCACTTGAGTTTGAAAGGCACTCCACTTGAGATCAAACATCAGATCACATGTGATGTTCTTCATTCACAATGATATGATGATAAAAAAAAGACTTCAGGAAATAACATTGCAAAAGAAGACAAATAAGCCAGTCAATTGAGATCAAAACTGCCTTGCTTTGATCAATACATTTTTGTGAAAATTGGTAAAAAGCACCCAACCAAGACTGCTTTTGCGCCTATGTGGTTTTTGGTGCTATCCTAAAGGCACATGTTTGAAGTTTCAGCTTTGCCAACATCCTATCACAACTAAAAAGTCATCAAGGCACGACGAAGCAACCCTGATAGCCAAGACTACGGAGATGTAATGTCCCACATTTGGAAGCCATCTCCAGTTATCTCTGCCCACAACATGGTTTGAACCTACAACCAGTACCAGTAGTGGGCAGACGAGCTGACCAGCTAACCACTAGGTTATAAACTGTTGAAGTGCAGAAGCATTGCAAAAAGTCTTGTTCAGAAGTAAAGTTACAACAGCCAGCATCTTTGGCTTGGGGCAAAAATCCGAGGCGTCCTCAGATTTTGGTAAATAACAAATGATTCTACACCGCCAACTCATGCATGATCAATTTTTTTAAGATTGTCAGTTGGTTTAAGTTGTGGTTTTTTTCTTCCTGCTTTTGGCGGGTGGAGCGGGAGCAGATTTCCAAACTTCCAAGCCCTTCTGAATGGCCTCTTTCCACTGTTCCGGAGTCACCTGTGAGATGGTAAGTGCGGACGCCTTTCGATGGGCTTCGGCTGAGTATAACGCACCTGCATTGATGATATAAGAATTGAGTTGATTATGATTGATATAGTAGTTTGATTGTGAAACCAGGATTCTCTCGACTTTTTTCTGGTGGCTATCAGTCACCGAACATGAAGCCTCGTGGCAGTTGTGTTGTACGTTGAGAATACAATCAATATCCTGGATAGTGTATAAAGACGGAGAAATATCAGCTGCGTGTATTGAAGACTAAATGAAAAAGAGCTTACCGCTGCTTTGATCCATACCAGATCTTCTTTAATGACAATTTCTCTCATTCCGTAGAATGGGATAACTCGATTTCGGCTGCACTTTTTGACCAAGAATAAACTTTTTGAAGCCGCTTGGTTTTCCGGTTTCCAAATCGATTGAACTCGGCCAATATTTAGACTATTCTTGATCTATATTTTAATCTCAGTTCAGATCATAAAGCTGTACATCTTCGATAGTCTATGGAAGAACGTACCAGGACAAAGTCACTCTGTTCAACTTTTTGTTTGTTGAGTAAAGTCAGACTTTCAATTTCTTGCCACAAGTGTTTGGTTTGTAAGTTTGATAAATAAGATGGAATAGAAGCGGTGGAGTTGTGTTGCACTTTATCTGATTACAGATTGTTATGTCAGTCCGGGTAAAGAAATCCATTGATTTAGAATATGAGATATAGACTCACTACCAGCAATGAAATCTAAACGGTGATTCAAGGTTACATCCCGCCCCAGTGCGTGTTGAACCTCAGAGTGATCGGGAAATATTGAATTCAACGCCGTTCCGCGGTGACCAACTCATCAAGATCTCGATCATAAAACGGGCTTCTTGATGTCAAAGTTTTCAATAGTTCCCAGTTGTTGAAAGTATTGGCTATATCATTTCCAGGACTTTGATGATTAGAATGAATTGAAGCATATCGTAGAACTCCATTGAAAGATTCGAATTTTTGGGTTGCAAATAAAGGTGCGGCTCCAAGACGTTGAATTGATCCAGGTAAGTGCGTCAGCATGTGAAATTTTGGTTTGTTCACCCATTGTGCGGTAATTCTGATCAATTTATGTAGAAAAATATCAATATGAGATTGTAATTCGTCAAGATACGAGGCCATATTGGTGATTTTTGCTTGAAATACGTAAGACGAAAGAAGGCAAAGTGATGTCCAAAGATGTTGTTTTTGCGGAGAAAGATGGCCGAACAAGACAAAAGGAACAGTCTGTAAAACAGTCTGAAATTCTTTACCCACAAGACTTTGAGAATACTGGATCAATGTGTTAGGTTGGATTGGAGGGATATTGAGACCTTTAGTGTTGAAAGCATTCCAGCGTGCTGAGAATTCGTTATATTTTGCGGAACCAGGCTTCATCGCACCTAACTCTTTCATTGTATCACCAAACAGGTATTTTGCAATTCCAAGTAAAACCACATGAAGGATCTCAACTGGGGTATCAGCATGACCGTCAAAACCTGTCCGTCCAATTGAATTTTAGTGTGGTTATCAAAAATATTGAAGAATGAATGAAAATTGTACTTACCTTTGAGACGAAGCATCGGATTAAAAAGGTGATCTCCAAGTTCTTCATCGAGTTTCCGGCATATTTCCTCAACCTCATGACGAGGTTTTGATTGATAAGCTACTTGAACTTGTTTTATGAAATGATCACATGTTGAATCACGAATACCAAACTTCCGACCCATCTGTTCCACAGTCGTCTTTGAGTTTGGCTTTTGCGCAGCTTTCCAGATCTGAACAGTTCTTGACCGTGTCTCATCCCAGTCACGCTTGGGAGAAACACTCTGCAAACATCAAATCAAAGACACAAAAATCAGATTCAATTATTCACAAATAAGATCTGAGCCCACTCACATGTTCAAAATTTGAATCCAGTCCAACAAATTGACGTATAAATTCTACTGTCTTCTTTTCTACCATGGTATCAACTTGAAGCGGACAAATTCGACATGGTGTGAGAGTGATTGCTGGGTTCGTAGTATTACAGATTTCCGCATGCATAGGCGAGTCTCCTAGATGACAAAGAACTACAACCATAGCTATCACCTCCTTCCCGGATGCGTAGTCAAAGGCGTCAAATCCGACTTCACTAAGATGGCTATAAATCACAAAGTCAGCTTTTGAATTTTACAAATCACTTAGAGAACTTACTTCAATTCATCCACCACATTATCAAAAAGTTCGAGTGCACTTGCCCTATTTGACGTCTCTAAAAAATGAATATTATATTCTTGATTTGTCATTTCCGGCGGTAAACCCGACAAAGTGAAAAATAAGCTCATATGTTTATTCCATTTCTTTGATACATTTCCGGACGTATCATCGGAGTATAAAGTAAGTGGAATATGTTTGATTATCTTCCCATTGGCTTTAGATCGCCAAGGGTTGATTAAGGGCAGGGTAATAAAGTTTTCGCCTTTGGACTCTGTCAATGTGAAAAGACTGTGTTAGCAAAAAGGATCTAAATCAATGATAAACGTATTATACTGACGTATGAATTTATCTTTAAGAAAATCTTTTAGTAAACCTAATCCTTCTATCACGATCTTATCAGAGCGTTTTGATAATAAACTTATGTCAATGGTGTGTAATAAAGGTGAATCAAAATCAGGCTCCTCGGGAATATGAACTGCAACCTCATTGAAATTATTGTCTTGAGGAATTATCTTGGCTTGAAGACATTTAGCAAAGAGTTTTCCGTCTTGTTGAAAGAAGTGAGTTGGAACCACCAAATGCGCAGATTCTAGCTGATAAATTTCATAGATAAATATGACCAATTGGAGATTCAACCATTTGAGCTCGAATTTCCTGGTTGAATTCTTTAAGCCACTTGGATGATTGGGAGAGACATGTGATTGGAATACTAGTGCCAGTGGTCTGTTCGGGTATGGTGACAATATGCGGGCTGATAAACGGGTTTGCCAAATCCTGAAAAGAATGATATTCTTGAATTAGTTTGTAATGAATTTACAAATGATTATAAAAGAAACTCACTCGTCTGATTATATCTTCAATTTTAAGTCCAAAGAGCGGAGTACCCAACGGACTTCGGCGCTGAACAACTGATAAACCAAATCTTTCTTTCAAACGTTTTTTCAAGGCTCGAAGCACCCCCCATTCGGGGAGGTAGACAGAGCAAATTTTCAAAATTGAACGAATGTGGTGATACTGTGACCGGGACAATAGGTTTCGTGTTGTTCCAATGATAAGAATTGCAATGAAATGCTGGAATGAAAAGCGGAAAAAAATTAGATAGAAAAACTAATAGTTTTTGGAGAAAGAAATTAAGTTCACTTACCTCTTTCTTTTTGAAAGGAAACCAACCTTTACCCTCTTCTTTCTTTGCATTGGCTAGCTCAGCATCAAGCATTGCTTCATAATCAGTGTCATCATCATCTCCATCCAAGTCTTCTTTATCCAACATCTCAAGCGCTTGAAATAATAACTGTCTTTGTTCAGTTTCGGACCCAGAGTTTGAGGAATCGTCATCATCGGACAGGATCGGTCCTAAAAGGTCTAAAACGTCTAAAATTGAATCACCAAGCTGATCTGATTCGTCATCCGTGTCCATAGCATCTTCAGGCCATTGGTTGTTTGAAGAAGACAGAGCTGGTGCACGTGAAAGTGGAGCAAGTAGTTCTTCATTATCATCCTCTTCGGCTACTAATCTCTCAACATTTCTTTTATGTGGTAAAGAATTGGAATGCCGTTCATAATTGACTATATTTTGGCTGCGACATGCATTACACTTGTAGAGTGGTACAGCTGGATTTGTGGATATTGATTCAAAAACTACAATATGGATTCATAATCAGTGATGGGTTGATGGAAATGAGAAAGTTCAAATAACTTACAACGTGGTAGCTGCTGATTATTTCCAGCCATTGCTTTACAACAAATAACCAGCTTTATCAACAAATTCCAAATTCTATGAATAAATTACTCTCTTCTTGGATGATGTATTTTATTCTATCTTATCTTGAATCTCACATTAACTTATTGAGTCTTTGATTTTCAGTTTTTCAAATGTAACAATCTTTGATTCTGATTTATCTTTTTCCAATTTTGAAAATACACTTTTTCTTTTATTCAGGAAATATAATTTGATATAGAATATTAATACTATTGTAATATAAGTCTTTATTAAATTTGACACTACAATCTATCTAACCCTTCTTCAGATTATATAATTTGATTTGAAAGATTGTAATATAAGATTAATATTTATCAAAAGAAACAGCCCATTAAAGTTAGCAAAGCTTTTGATGCTTTAACAAACAAAGAAGGAAGAAAGAACTGACAAGATTCCTCTATTTGTTAGCCAAAAACAAACTGATGTTTGATTTGGAACTATTGATGAATCCAATTGTTAGATAATAAACAATTGATTAATGCAATTGTATTGTTTTGACGTCGAAATCGATGTTGATTGTTGAATTCCGCGGCCGTGCGATCAAAAACAGAAGTGGTAATATCGATTTGTGGTGGCGGATTTGGTTAAAGCCGGACCGGCGATCAAATCGCCAGCTCGACTGATGCTCGCCTGCGGGCGGAATCAAGGCGGTTTCAAGGCGGGCGGCAGCCACCTAACAGACGCTCGCCCGCCCTTTTGCAAATTAACTACGCAGACCGGCTGCAGTCCGACTACCAGCGGTACTCAATCGGACTGTAGCCGGTATGTAGCCCGCTCTCACCGACCATTTTCAGGCCTTTTAGAGCATCCACAACGGTCCACCTACTTTGCGGGCCCCCAGCGATGTAGGGGGTCAAAACGCAAAAAAACGCTCCAACGGAGCTCGCACAATCGGGGGTGAGACGTCGGGGGCCTCCAGATTTCCATCCGGACCCCCCACATCTGCGAGGTCTATAGGGGCTCCCAATATCACGTGCCACTGCTTCCACGTGACCGATATAGTCACGTCTCAAACCGCACTCGAAACAAGATGATATGGTACAAGCATACCATATCACTCAATCGAGTTCTGGCCCCTGACTTCAAGTGCACCGCTGTGGACACCTGTTTTTTTGACCCCCTACATCCACAAAATCAGGATCGGGGGTCTGTTCCAGGGCTCGCAAAGTAGGTGGACCGTTGTGGATGCTCTTACCGGCCATTTTCAGGCGATTCTCCGGCCATTTCACGACCCCGACGACGCTCAGACTCCACCGACGATATTTCTGCTCAGAAACCACTCCGTGGTGTAGTCAAAGTTGAAGTTTTGATTTTGCAGGCGAGGGGTACACAGTTGCAATCAGGCTTTAGCAACTGTACTCATTCTAGCTCTCCATCTGGTCCTCAATCTGTGATTTAAACCATCGAACGCTTTAAATATCATTCTCCCTCGAAGCTGGTTTCTCTTTATCACCTGCGGGCTTTCATCCGGCTTCCTTTACCGGTCCTGGTTTATTCGGTGCCTCTCATCTGGCCCGCATGGAGTCAGCCTTTGGTCAAAACTTCGTCTGTTGCGCGATCCCTTTACGCGATCTACATGATTTACTTGAACACTTTGAACAAGCTCATTGTCAGGCCGGTGATATCGCCGAATTCGATGGCTTCGAGGGTCTTACACTAGACCAAATGGCAGCAGGGGTTGGTTTCTCCGCCGAGTTCGGTCTTGATCCTGGCAACGCCTCTCAGAACAATAACTCCGATCCCAATGCTCGTCACTGTGGTCGTTCGCCATCAGTTTCAGTCAATCCGCGCGCCGCATCTTTCTCACACACGTTACATGAGCTGAGATTTGAGGATGAAGAAGAATCGAGCTCAGGACATGATACCAGTACTAGAAGTGGTTCACCGGCTCATGTCTACAGGTCCCCTCTCCAATCGCATTCAGAGATGCAAATCGGTCCAGAAGTTGAAGAGGATACAATGACTCGATTAGGAAAGACATTAAGGGAAACACTTGGAACTCTACGACCTAATCCGATCACCATCGATCGATCTCGTAATTCCTCAAATTCACGTTCTCGGTCTGGTTCACTTTCCGAATCTCATGACGATGGAGCTTCAGCAGCCGATCGAGTACTTTCAGATTTAATCGCAAGTTTCAGATCTAAAGCGCGTGGAAATCGACATGATCCTCTTCAAAGTTCAAGACATTTGAGACATGATAATGGGAAAACAGCTGGTTATTTTGGGCGAATTGAAGTGGCACCAACCGAGTCGAATGGAAGAAATGATAGAATGGAAGGAGGAGCAATTGATCCAGCTCTAGTACTCGAAAGTCGCCCATTTGAAGGAGCTGATGGAATCAGAGATTCACTTGGTGATGATGATATTCCTGATCATCTCAAACTTGATCCAGAGCAACTTTTAAAACATCAACAACAGCAGAGACGTAGAAGGAGACCAAATGTGGACCCGGTGACAGGTTTGACTCCTACTGGTCGATTACCACGCCCTTGGACACCGGTTTCAGAAAAACCTTTCAAGTGTTCGGTACCGGGATGTGAGAAAGCTTATAAACAGCAGAGCGGATTGAAATATCACAAAACACATGGACATCCTTCTCAGGTAGAGTATTTAATTGATTTGCACCTTCCCACTCCCTATTCCAAAATATTGACTTTTCTATTTCTTTACTCCGGACCCTACTGCTGTGACAGACCATCCTAACAGCCGACGCAGAATCAAAACCGTTCATATGCCATGACATTGTATGCGGGAAAAGATACAAGAAGTGAGTTCAGAATATATCATATCAAAAGAGTGAAGAAGAACGAGAATCCAAGATAGACACTTATTCGTCTTGAATTCTACCATTAGTATATATAGTCTACGATCCCATTATCAGAATACAGGACCACATGGTGCGCTGGGGATCCAATTACTTTTACTTGGAGCTCACCCACATCAATATCATCCTCGGTATAAGAAATCTTCGATGATCAACTCTAGGAATCCTTCGTTTTGTCCTGGTTCTTCTAGCTCTTCTCCTCCCTCTTCTTGAGGAAGGTAAGGATTTAGAAGTTGTAGTGAATTTATTTTATTTTATCTTTTGTTTTTATTTTCTTGTTGCTCGCAGAATCAAAAGCGTTCATATGTCGTGACATGGTATGCGGGAAAAGATACAAGAAGTGAGTTGAGAAAAGATCAAAAGAGTGGAACATGAAAGGAATTCCAAAGAGAGAACCTCATCCGTCCTTGAAATCCCTATCATCAGTATTAACGGTTCAAGATACCAACATCAACATAGGTGCAAGATTGCAATAGAGTGTGAAAAGGATAATTTACTAGTAAAAACTACCAATAGAAGCTTTTTAAGGGCTGCTCTTCAAAAACCAACAACAAAAATGCCTTTGTTGAGGGAGTACATGATAAGTATCAAAAGAGAAAAGTAACACTCTTAAATCTCATAAAGAAAGTCTTGTAAAGTAGCTTTTGTACTGCAAATTCACCCTACTTCTTCTACGCCTTCAAGAGGGAGGTCTGATCTTCTGAAAGCCAATATTTTTGAGTAAAATTCTATACATATAAAAACATAGTGTCTTTCTACAGTTCTTTTGGTACAGCCTTTTTTAAAACTGCCCTTCCTATTAGGCTGCAAACATTGCCTGATCTGTGCCACATCAATACCAAATAATTGGCAGGAGTTAGGCTGGGGGATCAGGTGGTAGGTACGGCACATTTGGATGGCCACATCAAACAATTCTTAGAATAGGGGGTAGCAGGCCAATATGCAAGACTCCAATCTCTGAAGGCTGGAAAGTCTTCTTGCGCATAATCCTGGGCTAGAGAAGGGTCATATGGATAATCTTTTTGCTTGAGACAGAGACAGCCGTGTGGATGGGCCCCTGATTCACAATAATATTGCTATCAATCATTCTTCAGAATCAAAGCTGTGCAACTCACATGCTGGACGCGGCGCGATTGGCCTGCCTCAGGGGCATTGTCAGCCCTGAGTACATATACACAACGCCGAGACAGCTACGCTACTCTACGCTAAATAGCAGATAACACGTAGGGTAGCTGTACCCGTTATCGGGATATTTCACAAATGGCTAACGTACCGTCTAGAGCTACGATGTAGCGCTTAGCGTAGATTTTACAAGCGTTGACCGCTTACGTTAACTCTACATTAACTCGGTAACAGTGTTTTGAAATTGCCACTGTTGATAAAACAGAAAAAAGCACAAAAGAAAAATAACAAATAGGAAACTACATGAAATTGTTCACCCTGATGCACTCAATAACCTTGCCAAACTCTTCGCCCAAAGGTACACCCTCAACAAGCCACAGGTGAGTTGAAACCGATCTCTCGATGTTTATAGGACTTAAACCTCCTCGAGAAGCTGAACACACATCAGCTGCTGCTGAGAATGTGCATTCAGGTCCAGCCAAAGACCCCAAACAAGCCAGATAATCACAAGACATTATAGAAATAATGGGGAACCAAGCGTAATTTGTCTACCAAGGGAGTAAAGAAACGAGTTAGTACAGATTGATTGCAGTTGATTAAAGTGACAGCAAACCTACCGCCCACCAGCGAAGAGCTTTGTTAGGATTGGCCAGGTCATACTCAGGTTCTCTCATCCGAACGGAAGCATGAAAGTACTCTTTCATTTGTGAATTGTTGCCAAAGTCCTCAACACCATCATCATCATCACTATACAAGTCATATATAGCTGAAGTTGAAGGGCATGATTGGTCTGCTGAAAGTTCTGACAAAGGAGCTTTTGAGGTCTTCTTTGTTGTTGTTTGCAGCTGATATTCATGAAAGATCCGGTTGAAGGTTGATTTGGCATTGATGTATGTAGTTGATGTTTTCTCAAAGAATTTCTCGAAGAATTTGAGTCAGAAAGCAGGGTGTAGAATTGTTGCCGTTACCAACGTTTTGCATGCAAGGGCCTTGTCCAGATAGGCTTGCAACTTGGCAAGCATTGCGGCAATCATAGGGTAATGTGCATCCCTGATTGGTAAGTCAATCTCTCGTTCCTGCAACCGACCTTGTATTTCAACATATTTAGGAATAACTAAAGCCCCAGTGGGCATGTTACCTTCCATTTGTTTTGTGACAGACAAAAACGGCTGTATGTAATAGAAGAATAGAAAGAAAGGATTCAAAAGTCAATTCAATGAAAAATCGAAAGAAAAAGACAAAATACCTCAAGCTCCAAGTTCAGTTCTTGAATTGAGGCCCATTCTGAAGGACTTATTCACTGTAAACATCATTCAACTCCCTCAATTTGGAAGAGGAAAATGATTAATAGTACAGTTTGTCATAAAAGAATCTAATACTGCACACCTCAGCCATTTCACCCACACTACATATGTGCAGCAAGCTAAGTCAATAGTTGTCTATCATGTACATACAGGTCTGCTCAGTTTTGTGCCCATCAGAATAAATAAACCACATGTTATACCACATGTAACTTTTTTGACTTTGAGAAAATTGTCCCAAAAATTCACTACATATAAGTCTGTAGCTGCTCAGGCAATATTGTTGAAGCTATTTCTTAGTAACAGAAAGAGTCTTACATGCAGTTGAGTTGATGAGATTACATCAAAACATTGAGTCAGTGTATGTAGTCAATCTTTTGAATTTGTTTTTTGATCTCAAAAAAGTTACAGCATGTATTACATATGAATAACTCATCTTGATGAGCAGATAGCTGAGCAGAATGGTATGTACATGATAACCACATATTCACTAAGCCTGCTACACATATGTAGTGTGGGTCTTACAACTCAGGTGTGGAGTGATAGATCATTTTATGACAAATCATACTCCCAGTCACCTTTTCCTGCCCACTTGGGGAAGTTGAACAATGTTTGCAGTGTATTGAAATCTCGTGGAAGTAACCATAAGGTTTCCCGTTTTTGCGAGGTCGGCGAGTCTTTGAATGGACACGTGCAAGGTCTTCCTTCAAAAGTTGGTCAATCACCTATCATAATAATATGTCAGTTTGAGTAAACGAGGTTCTTTGTAAATAGATTGAAAGCTTACCTCACGTGCCAGCCATGCTTTATGCCTGCTGATGTACTTGATGTTCCATCGAATTCCATACCCTGCAATCAACGCTCGGACCTCAGCGTAACCTACCGTAGCGTTATGGATAATCCAAAACGCTACGGCAGACCGTTCTAAGTACCCACCGTGCCATACCGTTATGGTCAGACAACCGTTTCCCAAAGTACATTCCGGAACGGTGGGACCGTAACGTACCTTACCGCAATCGGCTTTTTTGGCTTTGGTATTGGTCAATTACAGTTGAATTTTTAAAAAAATCAAATAATTGAAGGAGAGACAAGAAATTGAAAGAAAAGAGATAACAAAATAAAAGAACTTGTTGTAAATAGATGAAAGAAAAAAGAAAGTAAAACAATATTGAAAAAGATACAATGTCAAACTACTTCTTGGTCTGTCCCTTCTTCTTCAGTTGTGCCTCGTATTCTGTGAGGTACTTCACTGCATCTTCAAACTTATCTGTGGGTACAATTCCAGACTTGATCCACTCTCTACATCCCACCTTTCGAGTGATCGTATTTGGAAGTATAGAACCTTGTCCCGGCGCAGCAACATCTGCAGCCGAGGAAAACGAACGCTCACAACAGCAAGTAGTTCCGATATGGACAAGTAGTCCCTTGCAATAGAAGCAAGTACCGGGAAGGACTTCTCGTGTCTCTGAAAAAGTCCCAAATTGATATCAGTTTTCAATCACATGATGAAACGGGTGAAAATACAGAGAGACTTACCCTCCACCAGTCCAAAGGTTTTTCATCAGGTGAAATGCCAAGATTTCCTGACCAGTAAAGGAAAGTATAGCAAGTTTCAGTGGTCAGTGGAATGAGAATGAAAACGTAAAAGGAAATGGTGAATTGGAGGGGAACGAAGAGGTTATGAACAAGAGGGGACGATTGAAACTTGGAATGACTTACTAATACCAGCAGCAGATCACGAGCCGTCCTTTCCCTGCGTATGGACTGCAGGGAGTTGCAGTCCAAATCAGGACAATCAGGTCCCTTGTGTTGTGATCCATAGAGGGTGTGGTAATGGTGATCCAGTGACGAGCTCGACGCATGGGCCCGCGGTTTTACCCCCCAGGTTATTACCCGTAGTCAAACCGTAATAACTACGGTTTTTGGCACGGTGACCGTAGTCAAGTTACGCCGTAAACGTAATGTCAACCGTAACCATACTTACCCATCCCGTGGTTACGGTACGGTCCTACCGTAATTCTGAACGGGTCATTGCGCTACGGTGCAGGCCGTTGTAGAACTTAAAGCTCAACAAGAGCTTTACAGAGCTTAAAGAGGGATAATCTACTAATATAACTAACTAGTAGAATTTGCCTAAGACTGCCTCTTTGAAAGAATCAACACGGGGTTTTGCTGAATTCTTTGGGATAAGGCACCAGAGAAATATGTCTCAATACTTAATTCAAGTATTATTCCCGTGATTTTTAGAAATAGAGAAATCTCAACACTATTGTAGTTTTATTCCAATCTGAACACAACAAAAACACAACTTTAATTACTAGCAAAAGCAACAATCAGTTTGATTGTTATTCCAATGAAGACTTGTAGTCTTATCACACGTAAAGAAATCTCTCCTTTGATGTAAAGGGGCAATTTAGTGAACTTAGTACTGCTAAAGTAATTTAATGATGATTAAAAACACTCTAACAAAAGTATAAGATGAGTAAAAAGGGGAACAAAAGCCCGTAAAATCCTTAACAATAGTATATAACCTTCCAACTCCCTTCAACAATGGTCAACAACCTCCAAAAAACCTCAAAAACCGTCAAAATCAACAGAATTTCCTCCAATGTAATCATATGATGTCATGAATAGTATTATTTGTAATGATTTAAGGCGTGAATTTAATCAATTGATTTGAATGAATGTTGAACAGATCTTCTTATGATGAATACAGGTGATTTTTTCCTAATATTCATAGCTGAAATCAATTTTTGGAATTACGAATTTTTTTGTAAAGTTGTTCAATTTTGGATTACTATAGCTCATTTGATAGCCCTCGTGATTCTGATCATTTATAACCCCTATATCACCTATTTCTGATGTGTGATGAATAAGTTATTGAGTTGTAA